TCCCATCCCCCCCGCCTCTCTCTCACACATACACACACACACACACTCACACACTGACTGCACAGCCCCTTCCTCACTATGGGCTCCTCCTCAGCCTTTACCACAGCGGACACACTCAGCGCTCAGCTACCTGCCGGGTTTGTGTGGGCGCTTCAGGGCAGGGTTTTGACTGCCTTTTCCACTGCACCGTTCCCGAGCCTGGAACAGAGCCTGGCACATAGTAGGTGCTCAATTAACACTGAGAGAATAAAAGGAAGACGCAGCGGGCACTGCACGCACTCACCCCCACAGGACTCCCACACACGCATTCACACAGTAGTCCTGGCTCACTCGCAAGCAGACGTCGCACCACCCCAACCCTCAAGCAGCCTGACCCGCGCACCCACATACCGCACATGCAGGTGCACTCACCCCACATGAGGCCATGGGCGTGCACCCCCAGGGGCTGCCCTGGCCTCCCAGGTCCCCTGGCCTGCGCTGTCTCCTGCCCTGCATGACCCAACCCCACGCTGAGCCTTGATCCCCCCCCCACGCCCTGTGTCGAAGGCCCAGCCTCTCTGCAGCACTGCTCTCCCTCCCATTCAACCTCTGGGCATCTCTTCCTCCAGGAGCCCTCCCCTCGCTCTCCCCACAGGGCTCTGAGGAAAGGGGGTCCCCAGAGCAGGGTGTGGTGGCGGGCAGAGGTTTGCAAGGCGTGCACCCCTGCCCTCCGTCACTGCACACTTGGGGACTGCACGCTCGTCTTCTGCTGAGAAGCCCATGGCTGGGGAGCTCACGGTAGACCCTTCTCCTCTGGCGAGAGCCACACCTCAGGCAAGTGCCTCCATTTCCCACCTGAGTCAGGCAGGGTCTATGGCCTCCTCAGCCCTGACAGCCGGCACGGCCAGATCCTGCCCTGCTGCGCTCCCCGCTGACTTGGGCGAGGCCGTTCTCTGTGCTGGGCCTCCGTTTCCCCGCCTGTGTCAGGTGGCTCTGGGCCCCTGGCTCCCTCATGGCTGGTTACGGAATGAGAAGCTCACAGTGCGCTGGCATCTCTGTATCTGGGGCCACCGCAGGGCTGCTGTCTCCATAGGGGAGGGGCACAGAGCCAGGGAGGGCACCCAGGCCTCTTCCAGTCAGCCCTGCTCCTCACCCAGTGCCTGGGGGGGCAAGCTCACAGGGTTGGCACACGAGATGGGGCCGTTTTGATCGGATGAGGGTCGATGGGGAGGTTTGGGTCTGTGCGCAGCCTTTCAAAGGACGCCCTTTGCTGTGTCCAGGGCTCACTGGCCCATAGGGTTCAGAGAAGCCAACCAGAGGGCCCCAGAGAGGGAGGAAGAATGAGAGCAGGGAGGGGGAGGGGAGGAAGGAAGGCAACAGGAAAGGAGGCAGGAAGAAGGCATTTATTCACGGCCCCAGGGCGTGGGGACAGTCCCAGGTGCATGCAGGGGAGGGGGTGCTGCAGAGCTGGTGCGGGGCCTCCACGGCTCCCTCCTTCCCGCAGCTCCCGGCCACCTGCCACCGATGCCAACATCACGTGCTGTCCAAGCAGGGCCTCCCTGGGCTCCCTGAGGGCAAAGGGGGCACAGACTACGGTGAAGGAGCCAAGCCAGGCAGCAGGATGTCAACTGGGAACGGAGCTGGTGCGGATGGGGAGGCGGAGACAGGGACGGATGGCAGAGCGTGAGGGGACACAGGCTGAAGCCAGCAGTGGGGCCAGCAGGTCTGAGGGGCTCACCTGGGGGTAGGCTCAGCTGGCCATGATGTGCTTCACGAACGCTGGAGGGAAGGGAGGGGAGTACAGGTTCGGCCCTGGGCAGCCTGGGCCCCAGGACCCCCCAGGAGGCTCCCTCCCTCTGCGCCCACCTTCATAGTTGATGCAGCCATTGGAGTCTTCTTGCCCAGCCATCAGCTTCTCCACCTCGTCCTCGGTCAGCCTCTCGCCTGGGGGTGGGGGCCGAGTCAGCACCCCCCGGGAGGGAAGGGAGGACACTGGGCCTCTGCATGCGCTTTGCCTCCCCATATGCCCTCGCCCCCTCTGGGCACTGCCGTCGTAGCTCCCCAGGCCGTGGCCATGACCCTCGTTTCTGAGTCCAGGAGAATCCGTGACAAGTCAAAAAGGGCAGGGCCTGGGTGCGGGCCTGGTGCCCCTCGAGCCTGGCTCTGTCCATAACAGCCCCCCCTCTGTCCCCACAAGGCTGGTGGGGATACAGCTGGGGTCCGGGGAGCAGGGTGACTATGGAGGGGACCACTGTTTCCCAGGCAAGTCAGGCACCTTCCTGTCTGGGTACTTTTGTGTGTGCTGTGCTATTGCCCCCCTGGAATGCCAACTGCAGTTTCTCCCACCCCCAGCCACACACATACATACACACACACTCACTCACATACCCACACACATACACACACACGTGCACACACTCACACACTCATGCAAACACTAGCACATACTCATATACATACACACATACTCATTCATACACATACTCATACACACATGCATACACAGGCACACACTCACAAACATACACACATACACACATATACATACACACACTCTCACACTCATGCACACACTAGCACACACTCATACGCATACTCATACATACACACACACTCACACATTCACTCACATACACATGCACACACACACGTACACACACTCATGCACACACTAGCACACACTCATACACACTCACACACACATAACCCTAGAGACCAGCACAGGTCTGGGCACACAATAGGTGCTCAATAGCATCTGCTGCGGGAGAAAGTCTGTTTCAAAAGGAGGCACCCCTGCCAGCCAGGCACCTGACAGTGGGGTCAGGATGCCCAAGATGCAGGCACGTGACCTACTCGGCCACTCAGGTGACGTGGCTCTGGGTCTTGACCTTGAGGCAGTGAACCCCGAGACTGAGCTGAGCCTCCTGGGTGCCTCACTGGGCCCCACCTGAGCCCAAAGCTGTTCCTGTCTCGCTTGGGTTCTGTGAGCGGCACCAACACGCTTCCTCTATCCCCCTAAGTGTCTAAATCCCCCCCCCATTTCTGTCCCTCGCCATAGAGGCGCCTTGACTGTCAGACCTGGGAGCAGGTGACCAAGTGGCTCCTCCTAAGATAACCCCCAAGGAGGAGTGGGGGAGGCAGCCCTCACCCAGCGTGGCCAGCACGTGGCGGAGCTCTGCGCCCATGACCGTGCCGTTGCCCTCCTTGTCGAAGACCCGCAGCCCCTCGACAAAGTCCTCGTAGGTGCCCGTGTCCTTGTTCTTGGCGATGTGCTGGAGCATGGGCAGGAACGTGTCGAAGTCCATCATCTTGGTGTTCAGGTCTGTGGAGAGAAGGTCCCGAGTGCCAGCAGGCCCTCCCTCGGCCCCCCAGTCCCCACAGCACGGTTAGCCACTCACAGCACGCCACCCCACGAGGCACTTCACAGGCACCAGAAAGGTGTTCGTCACGCAGCCTGTTCTCGAGGAGTTTGCTGGGTGGCAGCACGCGGGCCTCGCCCAGCACCTCCGCCCTCCTTTGCGGAACAGTCCTTGCTGGTGCCATCGTCTTCTAGACCCCACCTCCCTGCACTGCGGTTGGTCAGGAGCAGCTGAGCCAGTAGAGGCCTTCCCTGGGCTTGTGAACCACTCCTCCTGGGGGCAAAGCAAGCAGCCCTCTCTGGCCAGTGTGGCCAGGGCAACTGGCCCTAATCCACAGAGAGATGACCAGGGGCCCAGGAGGGCAGAGGGAGCCTGGTCTGCATGTGGTCAGTCCCCGAGGACCAGGAGGCCTGGTGCATCAGCCTGGGGCCAGGGGGACAGAAGCCAGCGCTCCTCGCCACCTGTCAGCTTCCCCTGAGACCAGCCCGTGTCCTCGTCCAGGCAATGGAGGCCAGTGCACAGCAGGAGGCTCCCGTGCGGCCCCACCGCATGTGGCAGCCCCACCCGCAGTCTCGGGGAACCAGCACTAAGGGGGAGCTCTGGGGGGGGGGGTGTCTGACCTTCCTGCTTGGGCTTCCCCAGGACGCGGAGCACCTCAGCCTGCGTGGGGTTCTGGCCCAGCGCCCGCAGGACGTCCCCGCACTGTCCGTAGGTGATCTTCATCTCACACTTGGGCGTGCGGTCAAACAGCATGAAGGCTTCCTTGAACTCTACCGGGAAAGGGCGTGAGCTGTGGACACCCCCGGCGAGAGCCCCCCGCTCACCCACACCCCTGGCAGGACTCTCAGACTGGGGGCCCCAGGCCCAACCCTGCAGCCCCAGGGTCAAGACCCCCCACTCACCTTCAATCTGCTCCGGAGTGAACTCGATCTGAAAGGAGACCCCAAAGATGCCTCAGAGGGTGGGGCCAGGCCTCCACCTGGTCACTCTGTGACCAGACCCAGACCTCAACTCCTCAGCTGTCCCACCCTCCCCATTTCCGCACCCCAGCCTCCATCCCTCGGGACCTCCCACTGTCCACCCTGACAACCCCCTGCCCCCTTATCCTCCCCACCTGCCAGCCGAGGGCCTTCACTCTGAGTGGACCCAAACCTCGACACCTGGTGGGAAGTGGTGAGGACGGAGGCCTGGTGCCCTGAGCCCCCAGCTCAGGGGGGCTTACCTGCTGCCCCTGGTCCTGAACAGATGTGCCTGAAGCCACAGATCAAACCAGCCTGGCTTTGCCACCCACCATGCCTGGGCGCAGGGGGCAGGACTGGCCACAGGAGTGCGATGGGGGGCTCACCTCAACAGTGTGTGTGATGTGCATGTGTGCGTTCATGTGCGTTCACACATGTGTTTATATGTGTCTGCCCCTCACAGAGCCCTCAAGGCTGGGCATTGTTGCTCATGTGGCCCTGCCTACACCTGGGTCCTACACACCCCGCCCATGAGGGCAGGGCAGCTCCCCACCCCCCATGCAGCACAGCCGAGCCAGGGGTGCTGTGGAGGCGACATGGGGCCACCTGAGGCCAGAAGGCCTCCTGGGACCCACTCTCCTCCTGGTCTCCCCCTCCCCACCCGATACCAGGTCTATTTTTATCACTGGCCCCAGGTCAAGGTCGCAGGAGGGACAGGAGCTTGGGGGAGGGGAACACGACTGGCACCTCTCCCGCTGCTGCTCCCTCGGGCCCCACCAACTCCACAGAGCACAGCAGTGAGAGGAGCACCCTGCCCTGCCATGGAGCTGCCTGGCCCCGCAAAGCTCTCTCCCCAGGAAGCCTGCTGACAAAGCCTCCCCCTCACCAGCCCCTCATCAGCCCCTCACCACCCTTCACCAGCCGGAAGTGGGGTCAGGGGCACATGAGGGGCCTCACTGTTCCCTCCTTGTAGAGGGGAGTGTGCCAACCTCAGATCCATGAGATTGGACAAGGGCACCATGGGTCCAGGTGAGCCTTGCCAGGGGCTATGGACACAAGCCCGCGGCCCGAGGGGTGGCCGGGGGCAGGAGCCAACTCCAGAGCACATGGCTGTGAGGAGGAGGGCTACCGCCCAGTCCAGCTTCAAGGAGGGCTACTGCCTGGTCCATGGCTGAAAACACCAGACCCAGAGCAGGGAAGGGATCCGCACCCGCGGCTCCTCCCAGCAGGAGTGGGTCTGTGCAGAGGGCTGAGGTCCTGCGGGGCCTGTGGGAGCCCCGAGGGGCCGGGAGGCAGAGGCTGGGAGAGAGCAGGGAGCGGCGGGAGGCAGGGTGCGTGCCGCTCTGCCAATGCCACAGGTGGGAGTCACGGCTGCCCCTCCAAGTTTAGCCTCCGAGGAAGCCTCCCAGCCCAGAGGGCTCCTGGGACCACTGGTCACAGCGTGAGCCCAGCTTCCTGCCTGTACCCCAGTCTCCCCACCTCAGAGCTGAGGCCCTCCCAGCTCTGGGGCTCGGGCACCTGGCAGGGGTGAGTGTGACCCAGCCTGGGCAGGGCCTTGCTTCCTCTGGTCTGCACCCGTCTGCCCCACCCTGGACAGGAGGCTCCTGCCTGGCTGCAGGGTGGGGGCGGCGGCTCCAGGATCCAAGGATGTGAGCGAGATCAAGGGAGAAGGGCGAGGGAGAGTCAGGCTCCAAAACCACCAAAAGGACACTCCTTCGGCGGCAAGGGGCGTCCTCCTGCTGGCTGCCCTCCACCCTCCCGCCCTCCCTCCCACCCGCCAAGCCTGCCTGATGCCCGAAGCCCAGGGCTTGTCTGGCAGAAGCTTCCAGCATGAGCTCCCTGCTCACTTTCCGAGCCCGGCCTGTCCCTGGGTCGGTCCACTCTGCCCTGTCCTTCCTGTCACACCCCAGCCCCCACACCCACCTTGACCTTGGAGGCATCAAACTCGTTCTCCTTGGGGGGCTCTGGCTGAGGGGCAGCAGGAGCGGGAGCCGCAGCCGGAGCCGCCGCCGCCTTGGGGGCCGCCTTGGCCTCCTCCTTCTTGGGCTCTGGTTTTTTGGGGGCCATGGGGGCCGTAAACACCCAGAGGGGCGAGGAGAGAAGGAAGCAGAGCCGGGTAGGGGTGCCTCCTGCCCTTGGCCTTTATCTGGTCTGGGCACTCATGCCCCCTGCCCCACCCCTGCGTGCACAATAGGGACAGGGCCATAAAAGGACATTGGCCGGGCTCAGGGGCTATTTTGGGGCCTGGGGAGGGCATTGTTCAGGCTCAGGAGCCGTGGGGAGAGGGACGGCTGTCCATTCCCCCCAATCACCTGTTGAGGAGGGAAGGGGAGGGGAGGACAGAGGCCGCTGCTCAGCACACAGCACACCCTGAAAGCACCGCCCAGGCCCAGCCAGACCCTGCACTCAGCAGGTGCAGAGGCCGCCAAGTGTGTGTGTGCCGTGTGCCGTGTGCCGTGTGCCGTGTGCTGTGTAAGGGCAGGAGGACTCGGGTCACCTGAGGCCCCTCTCCAGCTCAACTTCCCACCTGTGCACTGAATCCCCAGGTGTCTGCCTGCACCTGCACAGAGTTGGGCTGTCTGGGGGACTGTACGAGGGTGTGTACGGGGGTGGGCTCTGTGTGTCCGTGGGGGAGGGGTGGATCTGTGCGTGTTTCCTGGGTGTCTTTAGGGGTGGATTCCGTGTGCGCCGGTGCCGTCTCTGTGTGTGTTTGTGTGTATTTGTCTGTGTGTTTGTGTGTGAGAGTCACAGCTCTCGGGCAGCTGCAGCCCCAGCCATGAGTCTGAGGGTCCGGGAGCACCCCAAAGAGCTGCAGAATGAGTGCCTCTGTCTGGAGGTGGGGTGGGCAGCCCAGCTACCAGTGACCAGCCCCACAACCTCTAGCCTCAGCACCTGCCAGGCCCTGAGGCCGTTTCTCCGTTTCACTCTCGCTTCTCATCGCCTCTCTCACAGCCCCCGCCCCACATGCCACAGGCCTGCTCCCCACCAGACGCCTGTCCACGCTGCACCCTCTGCCCGACGCCCTCGCCTCGCCTCTGCCTGGTGCACCCAAGGCCCCCTCTTCCAGGAAGCTCTCCCGGATGCTGCTCCCAGGCCCCCCATTTCCCTCTGCCAACCTTTCTGGTGGGAGACCGGGACGGTTCGCCTCTCTGAGGGACCCCAGGGGGTGGGTGAGGATTGCCCCTGCTGCCCAGGTCGGGATGCTCACCCCTAGTTCCCACCCTCATGCCCACCCTGGAGGGTCCAGCCCTCTGCAGCCAGCAGACAGAGGGAAGCCTGGCTGGCCACCGCTGGGGAGGGGGGCAGGGAAGCTGAGGTGGCCTGAGGCCCGTCCAGGCACATACTGAGAGCAGGGACATCTTGCAAACACATTGGGCCCCATTCCTTGCCCAGTGTCTGGGGGGAGCGGTGCGGGGGGTAGGAAGGAGGTGTCCCTGTTATTTTTAAGTGCCTGGAGCCTTTGATAGAAACTTCAGAGGCAATGCCCCCCTCTATCCCAGACCCCTGGGACCATCCTGGGTGTGGGGCTGGGGCTGGAGCCCGAAGGGAGGATCTGCAAGTGCCCCCACCACCACCTGCTGGGCCCCGTCTCTCTTCCTGTCACTCAGCCTCCTGAGGGGACAGCAGTCCGGGGGGGGGGGGGGGGGGGGGCGGGGTGGCCCTCTGAGCTGGGACACGGGACGTTCCTCCCGCATCTGGAGGCAGCGCATCCTCCATCTGGAAACCTGACGACATCCGGTGCCGGGGGAGCAAGTGTTTCACTTTCTTCCAGATGTTTGGCGCGAGGACTGAGAAAGGAGGGTGGGAGGGGTCCACAGAGACGAGCCAGAAATACCACAGGAGGAGCAGGCAGCCCGAGGGGACACACAGAGAGAGGCCGCTGGGTGGCCCGCCCGTGGCCCAAGCCTGCTGACCCTCCGCACAACCGGCGCTGGGTACCCCACAGGGCCCAGCCACCTGCAGGCTCCACCCCCTCCACTCCCAGCGGAGGACTTGCACAGGGCCCCCCAGACGCCCCAGCTCATTTTGTGTTTTGTTTTTTGTTGTTAGTCCTCACCCAAGGATATTTTTCCATTAATTTTTAAAGAGAGTGAAAGAGAGAGGGAAAGACAGTGAGAAACATCGTTGTAAGAGAAACACATCAATGGGCTGCCTCCTGTACGTGCCAGACCAGGCCCCGGGCCAGGGAGGAGCCTGCAACCCAGGTACGTGTCCTTGACTGGAATCAAACCCCGGACCCTTCAGTCTGCAGGCTGACGCTCTATCCACTAGGCCACACCTCACTTTGTTGACACACCACCCTCCCTTGGGAACCACCGTGGATCGAGGAAGCAGCAGTGGGTGAGCGACACAGACCTCCGGGCCACAGTTCTGCCACACAAGTGGACAGGCCCAGGCGCCCAGCAGAGCCACACAGCCCCACCCTCCTCTGCCTGTGGGGTCGTGGAGAGGGGTGTCCCGGTCCCTCTCCTTGGTGCCCAGGGCAGGTGTGGTCCTGCGGACGGGACACGGTGCACAGAGCCCTCTGCCACTCCCCTGCCCGGGCTCAGGTGGAGGCTGGGCTGGGCCTTGGTCTGAGCCCTGCTCCTGGGAGCAGCATGGCCCAGGGCTCACCCATGAGACCCGTCAAACCACAGCTGACACCACCCCAGGCAGGAACGACACCCCCTGGGCGGCCGGCAGGTTTGGCTGCTGAGGCCAAGAGCCAGGCAGGGGGCGGCCAGGTGGGCAGGCAGGTGGACCGAGAAGGCGGGCAGTGAGAGAGGGAAGGTGGGCAGCAAGGACAGCCCACACCAAGGCTTGGCTCTCATCTCCCAGGTCCCAGCGGAGCTCCATGTGCTTCAGGAATGACAGCCCAGCAGGCAAGACCCAGGCAGGGCCTGGGGGTCCTGGGAGCCCAGGGACTTGGGGAGGGGCCTGGGTCCTACCCCTTTGGCTCTTCCGGCTCATGTCCGGGTGGTGGTCCTGTCTGGGGCCACATTCCAGAGCCCTTTCCGGGGGCGGCCACCTCCTCCGGCCACACGCACAGCCAAGGGAATGCTGGGAAGATGTGGGCCTGATTTCTGAGGACCCTGTGAATAGAGGCAGGAGACCCCCAGCCACACTGGCCTCCTTCCAGGTTCTACCAGCCTCCCTGCCTTTGTACCGACTGTTCCCTCCCCTGGGGACCCGGGGCTCAGGTCCCGCTGGTCTCCGTGACACGCCGCCTCCGGGACCTGCCTCCCCAACCCTGCACACCCGAACATGAGCTTGTTTCTTTGTTACTGTGTTTATTTGTAATTTTTTTTATTGATTTCAGAGAGGAAGGGAAAGGGAGAGATAGAAACATCAACGATGGGAGAATCATTGATCGGCTGCCTCCTGCACGCCCCCTACTGGGGATCGAGCCTGCAACCCAGGCATGTGCTCTGACCGGGAATTGAACCATGACCTCCTGGCTCATAGGTTGAAGCTCAACCACCGAGCCATGCCGGCCGGGCTCGTGTCTCTTATGTGTATCCGCCCCGTGAGTATCAGCTGCGTAGGAGGAATTTTTGTTCTTCCACAGCTATGTATCCCCAGCGTCTAGAACAGAGCCCAGTATACAGTAGGCACTCAATACGTGCTGGATGAGCAAATGTCCCAAACATCTCAATGTACCCACCTCCCCACGGGGGGACTAGGACCCCTTGCCAAACCCCATCCATGGAGTGGGGCGCGGGGGGATTGGGGAGAAAGGGCATTTGCTGACCCACGAGGGTTCTGGGAGAGCAGGGTGGGCACCCTGGGACAGCAACGCAGCCAGTGGCTGCCCACCTGCCACTCCCTCAGCTCGGCCTGCTCTCCGAGCCACTCCCATCGCCGCTGAAAGTCCTCTCAGCAGCCTGCAGAGCTGGGCTTGACCTGTGGTGTGGGCAGTGAGACAACGTGATGAGCAGCCAGCAGGGGGCGCAGGGGGCTAGGAACTGGCCTTTGGATCCTGAACCCAAACCCAGAACCCAGGACCCCTGCCCAGACCCCAAACTGCAGGCCTGGAACCTGAAACCCCAAACCCAGATCCCAGACTCCAGTCCCAGGAACCAAACCCCAAACTTAGAACCTAGAACCCAGAGCTCAGGACCAGAACCCACTCTAGGGACCCAGACTCTCAATCCCAGGATGCCAGACCCAGGCCTCAAGCCCAGACTCCAGACCCACAGACACACACCCAGACCCCAGGCCAGGACCCGGGACAGGGGCTGCTGGGCTCCCAGGCTGGCACTGCCCGCTGCTCTGCAGACGAGGGCGGGCGGGTGGAGGCGTGAAGTCTTGGCACACAGCAGGGCGAGTGTTTGGCAGACCCTGCCATGTTCAGAGGGGCCTGAGGAATGCCCCTCATCCCATCAGAGCCTGTTCCAATTTGGGGAGCTCAGAATATGGTGGCCACGTGGAGGGGCGGTGAGGTCTGCCTGTCCCTGGGGCCCAGGAGCCAGAGGCAGGGAAGGAGGGTCTGGCTCCCCACGTGCCCTGGTCCCCGGCCGCAGGCTCTGCAGCCGCC